ATAGGCAAAAATCGCGGAGTATCTGTCTCAGGTCTCTAATTGCCTTTCAGCAAGTTAAATTGACGTACATACCCTGTAATTAGCCAGTAATCGTTCACATTCCTACACAATACATAAATCAGGAACAAGAATTGCTTCTTTCTTCTTTACTTCGACAATATTTCAGCCCTGAATTACATACAACAAAAAGAAATAAGTCAAGTCGTTGACATTTTTGTTTTGTTTGATAATAGATTATAAACATTTTTACCGTTCAAAATACTAAACTAGATATAAAAGTTAAAACATAAAAAATTAAATGAAGGAAAATAATTAAACTGTTATGTTAGATAAACTTAATTATTATCAAAAAAAAATTATTTTACCTCGATCACTATTTTGATATTATTTTAAACTACATTTTAATTTGTGAGGTTGAACCTCAATTGAGTGTAATGAACATTACATTTTATACTAGTTATTTAACGTTTTCATTACAATAAATTGTGACTTCTTCTTCTTCTTCTTAACATGCCATACGCCAAAGTGCGTAGGCGACTATCTCATTACTAGAATTCTGTTCTTGGCGGCGTGACACAGCTCGCCTGTATTGTGTATTCCTGTGCGTTCCTTAATATTCCTTAACCAGGATAATTGTTTGCGGCCGGCTCCTCTCCTACCTTCGATCTCCCTTTTAGGATTAACTGTGGTATTTCATATTTTGCTCCTCTCAATATGTGCCCAATGTAACCAATCTTGCGTTTTTTAATTAATTCAAAGAGTTCTCTTTCCACGCCGGCTCTCTTAAGGACGTCATAGTTTCGAAATCTATCCACCCAAGGTATGCGCATCATTCTTCTCAATGACCACTTTTCAAATGCTTCAAGTTTAACTTCAAATTGTGACTTAACCTCATATAAACATAATATCTAACTTGGATATGTCATAGAAGAACAGTTTCAGAAACTTTTCAATATTTATTTTCTATATTTTATTTCATTTTTAATTATTTATGTTACACTGCAGATGTGCAATAATACAGGGTGTTTTAAAAAGTTATGTCATAAATTAAATTATGCATTCGGGACAAAAAAAAATGATTGAATCCAACTTACCTTAGTATAAAAGTGTACACAAAAAAAGTTACAGCCCTTTAAAGTTACAAAATAAAAATTGTTTTTTGCAATATCTTCTAAACTACTTTCTTGTTCTGAAGACACGTTACTTTCTTGTTCTGAAATCATTTTTTTTTACAAAAGAAACAACAAAATCTAAGCGCACAGAAAAAATTTAAGTGGGATGTGCAGCCCTAAGTCCCCCCAAATTTTTGAGTACGTTCAAATCAAATGAATTTTGTGGCATCATTAGTTTAACACATTATTTTTAAAACTTTTTGCCTTATATCACTTTTTCGAAAAACTAGTTTTTTCCTAGTTGGCCATAAAATTACAATTAGTTTGAACAGATACAATAATTACAAACAGTTCCATCAATAATAGTCAATAATTTGAAGCTATTCATTTATTTTGTGAATAAGATTAATATTAAAAATTTTGATAGTACAATGGTCTACACATTTCAGGAAATGGCAGATATGCATTTAACTTTGGATAAGTTGAATCAGATTAAATTATGATTTCAATAAACTATCGGGAATATCGTAGGTGAATGTCAAGGAAATAGTGCAGCAGCCGCAGGGCGTTATGAAGTAACGTAGTAGTATTCTTTAGTATTCTTTTAAGCTGGTATCATCAATCAGCCAATCGCGTCCACTGCTGGAAATAGGCCTCCCTCAGTTCTTTCCAGTGTTCTCTATACTGGGCCGCTTGTAGCCAGTTTCCCGCTACACGTTTTATATCATCGGTCCATCTAGTCGATGGTCGTCCTCGGCTTCTTTTATAGTTTCTGGGCCTCCATTCCATAATACGTCTTGTCCACCGTCCATCTTGTGCTCTGGTTAAGTGCCCTGCCCAGTTCCACTTAAGCGACGTGATTCTTTCGATGACGTCTTGAACTCCTGATCTTTGCCTGGTTTGTTGGTTTGTTATGTGGTCTCGAAGGCTCACGTTCAGCATTACACGTTCCATGGCTCGTTGTGTAACTGAGTTTATTCGCAGATTTTTGCGAGATTGTTAAAGTCTCTGCTCCATAAGTTTGTACAGGTAAAACACATTGGTTATAAACCTGCTGGTATATAAGCTGGTATATTATAAGTTGGTATAGAATTTCATAATTATTAAATGGGTAATAGAACAAATAGAAGACATAAAATAAGTTATTTGGCTGCAGATAGACGGCATGCAGATAGATTTAGCATTAAAACTGGTAACCTCTTTACAATCTCCCGACAAAGGACAGAACAGATTAACTTTTAGAATAGCAAACCTGCTCTTGTGAGCTCATGGTTTTGCCCCTAAATGTCTTTTTTCCTGGGGATTTATGCCACGACCCTTAAAATTCCGATTTACACCTTCTTTCCTTCCCCATCCTACCCAACAAGAAAATGGAGAAAAACGAATGTAAAAAATCCGTATGGCAGGACACATGGCTTGAATAACGGATGGGCAATGAACAAAGAGGTTATTGGAATGAGAACCAATGGAAGATAAAAGATACGTCGGTTGTCCACCTACACGATGGACTGAAGATTTAAGAAGAAAAAATAAAAATTATTTGAGGGTGGCGCGAGGCAGTAGGAAGAAACACGGGTTTGGATTCACGAAGAAGAGCATGTTCAGCAGTAAACTTTTGTCGCTGGATGATGAGAATGATGAGACGTCAAGAGGCATTGATATAATTTCATAATAAAATAATGTTGTATTAGGGCTCAGTATTTAGGCCCGATTTATTTAAATTTTTATTGGATTAATTTGATTTTGTCTGTTGCTTAATGTGTGATGATTAGGCGGTGTTGTGTCAAGCATGAAAATGAAAACGAAAAATACTACAATAAATTCATGCACCTGACGGAACAACAAGTTAAATTAAGTAGGATAAAATCAAAATACGTAGAATGTTTTAGCTCCGTACTGCTACTTGATCATGGTATTGTAAGTATAAGGTATAACGGCTATTTGATTTTTATCTATATGTTTATAAATAATGTCGTGGGGTTTCATTCAACTATAATTTGAAGCAAATCTAATAATAAGCAAGCGCGGTATTCATCATCACGTATTACGTGCCGAATGGGCTCTTAGCGTAGGCGTGAAATGTTAGAATCAAAGAAAAGGGAAAATAAAGAGTAAGGCAAAGAGTGTCAAGAGTTATTAGAGATGAGATAAGTAGCCCTGTCGGTGGCGTGGTGAAGAGTATGTCGCATAATGTCAAAGGTTTCATCAATGTAGTTGCCATTATAAAACAATCTTTATGCACTTTGTCGGTTTCTTTTTGCGATATAATTTCCAGTAGCGCACATAGGTAAATAGAAAAAAATTATGTCAACAATGAAATAAGAAACAAAATATTTAAAATATTTCATTGGATTGATTGATTGAAATGAACGATAAACGTATAGTACTATGGAAAGATTCATCAATATTTTATGGCTATCGGCCCGCGGTCAGGTTTTGGTCCATGTAGATTCTCAAATATTTTATGTACTTAACTTGTGATTTTCACTTTCATATTCCATTTTGATGTGTATTTTAACTGCCACTGTAACCGTAATAGTAAAACAATCATTTACTGCTATTTTTACCTACAATCAACCAAATGACAATTTGTGAGCTATAATGTAGCTCATTGGTTCTCAAAGTGTTTTTCTCTCTGTGGTGAGATATGGTTTTGTACATATCTAAGGTAATTACCCCCTAATGTCTTAAAGTTACTCCTAAAAATGTCGTTAAATGTGTATTATTACAAAATTTAGTAGTATTTGATGAGGTAAAGCTTTCGGCTTTCCTATATCTGAGAAATCTAAAAAACCAAGAAAAGCGATTGTAGAAAACCAAACACACAATACAATATACTCCAAATTCTGGAATATAAAATCAATTATTATATTTGTAACCCGAGCAAACTATTTACTTTGGTATACAAGCAATCAAGGCCGTTCTGCTCGTTAAGTACGGTTCTTTCAACAATTATATAGAACAGTGGTTCCCAACTGGTGGTCCGCGGACCCCTGGTGGTCCGCGGACCCCTGGGGGTCCGCGAGGTATGGCTGAGGGGTCCGCAAGATATAAAAATAAATATATGAAGAGCCAGGGACAAAAACAATATCTGGTGATTTTTTGACCTTATCTACATATAAATTTATTTTAAAATTTAAAAAGTACAATTATATTATTTAAGTTTGTTATTCGTTATTAAGAATTGCCTAACTAATATTCATATCATACAAAAAGTCTAATTTGTAATATAAAATGATCCGCCTCTGTGGTGTTCAACCGGGGATTTCCCGAAGTTTACGCTATTCTTGGACGTGTTCATACTCTTCCAATAATTTATGTCTTGGTTTTATAAAGAAACCAATTCAGTTAATATCAACATATCAATTTTCAATTTATCAGTTTTATCTTTCTTGTGTCGACTGTGCAATTTTAAGTGATTATGTAGGCTGAATTACTATTTTTCATATTTGTAGTTTTGTCACATTATGTGTTGGTTTGATCATCTAAAATCTAAAAGGCAGGTAGGTGTATTACTAACTATTTTTCAGTTTTTATTTATATTAAAAATTTGGTAGCACGAGCAAAAATTACAAGGTGTTTCAACAAAAAGATTTGTTGAAACAAAGGTGGTCTGTCAGGCCAAGTTTACGACATAAAACGTTTTAAATAGTAAATAATCTACATTGTCGGGATTTCCAGCAGTAACACATTTTTCGTTACTGCGCATACTCGGAACAATCTGGTGATTTTTAACAAAATCTGGCAACTTTTGAAGCAATTGTCTGGTGATTTTTTAGTTTTTTGACCTGGCGACATTGCGCTGTCTGTTTGCATTCCAGTTAGTTTGATTTTGTGCAACAAATTTAAAGCTTTGTTTTTCACCGAAAGTTACATTACGCGTACGTTATGGACCGTTGGTTAAAATGTGGATCGTTAAAACGGGATAGACCTACAGACGAAGAGGGAGAAAATACATTCAATGTTAAAGTTAAAAAGTCAATGACTCTCGAACCGAACTTGTCAGTGTCTATTGAACCCAACTCATCGGCGTCTCTTAAACCTAATTCGGCCAAGATCAGTGCTGCAAAAATTAGAAAATACAACTCTGATTACTTGGAAATGGGTTTCACGTTCACTGGCCCTGAGCAGCAGCCTAAACCTCAATGTGTAATTTGCTACGAAAGCCTTTCGAATGAGTGTATGAAGCCAGCAAAACTCCGTCGGCATCTTGAGACAAAACATCCAGAGTACAAGAGTAAGTCATTAGATTTTTTTAAAAACAAACTAGGAGAGCTTAGAAGATCTCGTAAAAACATTACTAAACACTATGGTGCAAATGTAAATGAAAATGCAACCCTTGCATCTTATGAGGTATCTCAGCTTGTCGCTAAATGTGGAAAAAACCATACAATTGCTAAAGAACTTATACTACCATCAGCAATAATTCTATGCAAGAGAATGTTGGGTGATGCGGCTGTTAAGATAATAAGTACTGTTCCGCTCTCTAACAACACTGTCCAAAGACGAATTTCAGATATGGCCAATAACATTGAAGATACATTGCTGGTCAGACTTAGCAAGAGCGACATGTTTGCTCTTCAATTGGATGAAAGCACCGACATATCAAAAAAAGCAATGTTGTGTTTTGTTCGATTTTTGTGGGACGACCAGATATTGGAAGATTTTCTTTTTTCATGCGAACTAATTCACACAACAGCAGCAGATATTTTTACTGCATTGAATGATTTTTTTAATAAACATGACGTCACATGGACAAAATGTGTGGGCTTGTCTACGGATGGAGCAAAATCAATGGCTGGCCACAAAGCAGGACTTCAAGCTCGTGTGAAAGCAGTAGCTCCTGAGGTGAAATGGACACACTGTTGTATTCATCGTGAAGCCTTGGTAGCCAAAACATTGCCTGAACCTTTGCAGAAGATACTTAACGAAGTAGTTCAAATCGTTAATTACATTAAAACTCGACCTCTGCAATCCAGATTATTTTCTTTGTTGTGCAAAGAGATTGGCAGTGAGCATGAACACCTTATTATTCATACGGAAGTAAGGTGGCTCTCTCGAGGGAGGATATTGACAAGATTTTTTGAACTTAGAGATGAAGTTCGTGTTTTTCTTCTTGACACCAAGTACGCAGATGTTCTCACTGACTTTTCTTGGCTTTGCTCAACTGCCTACTTAGCTGACGTGTTTGAACACTTGAATGTATTAAACTTAAGTTTGCAAGGGAAAAATGTATACATGTTCAAAGTTGAAGATAAGATCAGTGCTATGGTAAAAAAGTGCGAGCTGTGGGCAACAAGGATTGAAAACGAGTCGTTCACTAACTTTCCTAATTTGAAACAGTTCATGGAGTCTGCAGAGCAGAGTTTACCTGACCCGATAAAGATCAATGCAGCCGAGCACCTACGCAGCCTAGCCACGACTTTTAGGATATACTTCCCTGAATCTGACGCTGACGATGGTTGGATTCGAAATCCTTTCAGCTGTCAAGCAATTGAACAAATCCAAGGCCTCACAGAAGAAGAACAAGATAAGCTTGTGGATTTGTCGAGTTGTGGTACGATGAAGGACATTTTTAATGGCGAGAAAATAGCAGACTTCTGGGCAACAGCACGCAAGGATTATAAAGAACTTGGAGATAAGGCCATGAAAAAAATCCTTCCGTTTCCAACAACCTACCGGTGTGAGCAAGCATTTTCTTCCATGTGCTTCATGAAAAACAAATATAGGAATCGGTTTGACATGCGGTCGGATTTCAGAGTGAAAGTTTCAAGTTTGGAACCTAATATTACAGAAATAATGGATTCTAAGGTTAAATTCAACGTATCTCATTAATTAAGGAGTGAAAATTAAAACTAATAATGTATAGGTACTCTGTATTTTCACAAATATATCCTAAATAGCATTAGTTTGATTTATGTTTTCACATATTTTGACTCTTTTCAGGTAACTTTAGGTTTGTTTAGGTCTTTAGGAAATAGTGGTGGTCCTCGTCATTGTAGTACCTTGATGAAGGGGTCCTTGGAAAAATTTAGTTAGGAACCCCTGATATAGAAGCTGTTTGTATTATCTTTAAAATTAAAATTAAATGGGCATCATCCTAATATTTATTCTCATAAGGAAACGAGCTCAAAGAATTTAAAAGAAAAATTTAAAACAAAGTTAAGCTTTATTATTTTATAAGGAACAAAAAGTTATTAAAAGATTCTACGTTAAAAATTACGTAATTTAAAAAAAAACAAAACAACTTGTGTTTACAATATTGTATTACACATGAGAAGTATTTATATGAAATTAAAATTAAGATCGTATCGTAAGAAATCACACATTTTGTATCAGGGCATTAGATTATGAATAAAAGATATATATGTCGGTCAGATAGCTCAGCGGGCTGTGCGGCTGCCTCTCATTCGCTTCACTGTCGAATGGTTCAGTGGATGTGGGATCGAGCCCCAGCTCGGTGTACAGAAAACAAAAAGTCTAACGCAGCAGTTTAAAATTCTAGATGAATCTGCGGCTTAGACTAGAATATGCTGGGTTCTGATCGGCCTATGGTGGAGCAATACGGCAAGAGATAAGGGCTTGCGGCTCGGTGATACTCCTCCATAGATCCCTACCGGACGGGCATAACGCCTAAAAAACCGGATATATATAAAAGATATATAAAAATAAAATTATACTTTATCCCAAAATTAAAAATTCGTTCACATAAATATATTTGTTATTAGGTAGAATACCCAGTATAATTAAAAGATTAATAACAAATCACTTCACTGTTATTTAGTTCATAGATATTGTTTACTGTTTAACAAAAAAATATAAAATGGGATAACCTGATTTATCTAATTTTTTACCCTCTAGGTACTTGGCAAACAGAAACCTTGGATATATCTAGCAGGAACATATTATACACCATGAAAATTTATAGGATTGTGTTTCAGAACAAATATCATAAATCCATATTTATACAACCTAGGGCCAATAGACATAGCTTAGTAACTATCAAGGCTCCCGGGTAAGGGTCTAAAAATAAATATATATTTGAAAATATATAAGAGAAAAGGAATTTTTGGCTAACATCAACAAGAGACCACTCAAATAAAATAACGTCTTGACTGTTTGCCGTTCAAATAGATACAGATGGACGAAAACAATATCGCTCATGAGTCGAGACGAGTTAAAGAACGCTCTCATCTATCGGAGATGTAAGGAACTATAATAGGGTTCGTGAGGTAATTTAAATGCACTCGGTGGATAGATGTCGTAAACAATAATATTTTGAATATTTGCTCGAAATTGTAATAATAAATTATTTAAAACTATTGAAATGTGGTTACAAATGGAGCTCGGGGCAATAAGGGACCTAAGCCACATTTTTTGAAATTTGACGATTTTATTAAAACGGGCTCTGTAAAATGGTCTTAAGCCACCAGCGAAGTTTTACGACTATTGTGCAATAGATGTCGCCACCAGGCTAAAATTGTTTAAGCAAGAACGTCATAAGCCACAATAAAATCAACATGGCGACACGTGATCGAAGAGTATTGAAAGAAAAACAATACGGAAAAAAACAGTAGTTTGGGTTCGAATTTTGACTCAGACGATTCTGTAAACGATAGAGAATATTCTCCGCATTCAAATTCCTGTGAAAGTGATGAATCTTCTCCGAAAAAGGTAAGTAAACATTTTAGTGGCTTGAGACCTTCTTGCTGTAGGAAATGTGGCTTATGTCTTAATAAGTTATAATAACATTAAATTTACTTTTTTAGTAGGACGTAGCCATAAATAAACCGTTTTTACTTTTTTTATTGATAAAGACCCAGTAAAACTTATATTCTATTTAAATTCGTTTGTAAATAACACGTTCTAAGACCAAAAATGTATTTTATTTAGTAGGTGGCTTAGGACCTTCTTGACTAAAGAACCTTTATTGTTTTAGAGAAGTCGACAATACCACACTGCAACTGCAGATACTAATCAAAGTCAAGTAGAAGGCAACAGAGGTTCAATTATTTTGCTTCAGAAAAACTTCCACCAAGCCGATGGAGAAAAGTTAACATTGAAGAAAGAAAGAAAAAAACAGAAAAAGAACGTCGAAACTTGGGACACGACTATATAAATTTGAAAGGTGCAGTAAATGAAGCAAATAAAATTGGAGATCGGTGTAAATGTAAAAAAAGTGCAGAGAACTGCTGCAGGGTACCGAATTATCGGTATTTAACAGCTTTTGGGATCTAGAGACATACGAGAAGCAGAACACATATTTATTTTCCACAATAAAGGTTATAAAGAAAAAAAAGTTACAAGAGAAAAACAAAAAGACAATAGTCAAAACGAAAATTTACCAATTTGTATTTTGTAAAAGATAACGGAATAGATGTGCAGATATGCAAACAGGAGTTTTTATCGGTTCATGGACTACAAAATTCAAGTAAGCGAATTAAACTAATTTCAAAATAAATTTCTGAAAGAAGATCAACACCAAAAAAAGATCAAAGAGGTAAACATCACAATAGACCAAACAAAGTTACCCCAGAAATAGTACAATCAGTTCACCACCACATTAGAAGTATTTACTATAACTAGACCTATAACAGAGTGTATATAAATCATGATGTTAGTATTTCAAGCCTGTATAAGGATTACTACATGGCTTGGTGTAAAGAGCGTAGTATGCCACTTAAAGAGGATTGGCCCGAAGAATTTTTTACTTACAATACAACATAGGGTTTAAGATGCCCAAAAGCGATACGTGTTCAACCTGTGATTCACTTAATGTTATGATAAATTCTAATACCCATATTAATGAATCTGAAGTCAAAAATCTCCAGGTAAAACTACGGTTACACCAAAGTCGCGCATAGGCAGTGCAGCAAGACCTTAAGGACGAAATTAAGAAAAATGAAGAAACTCACAACACTGACATAATTTCATTCGACTGACTACAAACCTTACCCACACCTTCATTGACTGTTGGCGTAGCATTTTACCTTAGGAAAGCATGGACCTATAATATTGGCGTACATGATTGTGTATCGCGGCAAGAACATATGTGTATCAGAGTCAGTTGCAAAAAGAGGAAGTTCCAAAATTGCTAGTGTACTCCTAAACTATATAACCCATAATCCATCAAGATCTGAAAATCTTGTAGTCTTTACTTACAATTGCGGGGGTCAAAACAAGAATTGGCTAATAATGGCATTATGGCTGCAATTAGTTAGGGAAGAAATTTACAAAACCATAGAACATCGTTTTCTAGTATCTGGGTACACCCATTTGCCTTTAGATAGAGATTTTGCTTTAATAGAAAAACATTAAAAAAATACTATGTAAAATCTTCAATAATATTTATAACACAGGCAACATTCCAAAAGATTGGCTAGTTTTAGAATTTATTACGTTACCAAAGAAATAGGGAGCGAGAAAGTGCGGAGAATATAGGCTAATAAGCCATACACTAAAACATTTTCTTAAAATTATACATCGCAGAATATACAAGCTATGTGAAGAGAGAATACAAGAGACTCAGTTTAGATTTATGAAAGGCGTAGGTATGAGAGACGTATTGTTTAGTCTACAGGTATTGTTCCAAAGATGCAGATGAATGACTTGTAATATATACATCTGCTTTGTGGACTTCCAAAAAGCATTTGACACAGTTTACCACCGAAAAATAATGGATGTTCTAACAAAATCCCAAATAGATGATAAAGATCGGCGTATAATACAAAATTTATAATGGAAGGATGTATAATTTCACCTATATTATTCAAATTATATTCAGAAAAAATATTTAGTGAAGCCTTGAAAAATTGCGAAAATGGAATGCTTTTAAATGGAGAACGCCTAAACAACATCCGCTATGCAGATGACACCGTTATTTTTGCAGGCAGTTTAAACCGTTTACAGCAACTAATAAACAAAGTAAATGAAGTAAGTGAAAGATTTTGACTACAAGTAACATATCATCATCATCTTTGGCTCTACAACCCTGGGTGGGTCTCAACCTGTTCAAGAATTGGTCTCCATTTTCCCCTATCCTTTGCCCTGGCTTTCCAATTTCTGACCCCTAGATTCCTCAAGTCAACTTCGACTTGAGTTTTGAATCTAGATCTTGGCCTGCCACTCTTCCTGGTTCTTACTGGCTCTTGATAGAATGTCTGTCTTTGGGGGTCTCCAGCGTCCATTTTTTCGGAGTCCATTATACGGCGGAGCTGCACATCGAAAATCCGAGTTATGAAGAAGTAGTTCAGATAATAAATAAACTAAAAAACTATAAAGCACCAGGAACGGACGGAATTTCGACAGAATTATTAAAGCATGAAGGATCCGAACTCTGGGAAAGAATCCATTACCTAACAACATTACTATGGACGAAGGAGCAAATGCCAGAGGAATGGACAGTTGGCCTCATACAGCCAATATATAAAAAAGGAGAATGCCAGAATTATAGGCCAATTACATTGCTAAATGTAATATACAAAATTCTTTCTGGTATAAGCTACAATAGATTACTAGAATACTCCGAAAATATAATTGGTGATTATCAAAATGGATTCAGATCAAATAGAGCCACTACAGATAACATATTCATACTAAAAACGATACAAGAAAAAGCTTATGAATACGACATATACCTATATTATATGTATATAGACTTTAAACAAGCTTTTGATAGTGTGAAAAAAGACAGAATGCTGGAAAACCTTTGTAATCTAGGTATACCTAAGAAATACATCAGCCTCATAAAAATAACGTTGCAGGGTTCAAAAGCCGCAGTCAGAGTAGATGGAGAACTGATTCCCCTGTTTAACATCAACATGGGAGTAAGACAGGGAGATGCCCGATCAACCATGCTATTCAACCTAGTTCTTGAGGCATCAGAAAAAAACAATATAACCGGCCATATAAACACCAAATCAGTACAAATTACTGAATATGCAGACGATGTAGCCATCATTAGTAGGAATAAGCCACGAGTAATGAAAGTGTTCAAACAAATTGATCCTGAAGCAAGAAAAAGATGTCTCAAAATAAACGAAGCAAAAACGAAGTATATGACAGTCAAAAGAATACATAACTGACAATGAAAATAATATCACACTAGACAACTATACTATCGAACGAGTGGATGCCTTTACATATCTCGGCACAGAAATCATTTAGAAGAACTCCGTAAGTAGCGAAATTAATGCACGTATTTCCAGCGGGAATCGTACATACTATGCTAATAAAAGATTGATGACATCGAAATTAATAGACAAAAGAACCAAAATGACTATCTACAGAACACTGATTAGACCCGTAGTAACCTATCGATGTGAAACTTGGGTAATGACGAAAAAAGATGAAGCCCAACTCAGGACATTCGAGAGAGAAATACTGAGGAAAGTATATGGCCCAGTACAAGAGGAGGATGGCACATGAAGAATCAGGAGAAACGACGAGGTTAATGAGTTAAATGAAGGTTATGACATTGTAAGATTTGTGAAAAGTTAAAGACTGTCATGGCTGGGACATGTGCGTCACAAAACGATGCAAAAACAACAAAGAAAATGTTACAATGAAAGCGCATAGGAAGGCGAAAAAAAGGAAGGCCCAGAACGAGATGGTTGGATGACGTGGAAGACGACCTGAAAACAATGAACATAAGACAATGGAGAAGAAGGGCACAAGAAAGATCTGAATGGAAGGACATAGCCAGATAGGCAAAGACCCATCAAGGGTTATGATGCCAAAAGAAGAAGAAGAAGCGTCCATTCTTTCAAGGTGTCCCAGCCACCTTAGTCTTTTAATTTTAATAAACCGCACGTTGTTGCATTTTTTATAGCATTGGTACAACTCAAAATTGTAGCGCCTGCTCCATATCCCGCTTTCTTGTACTCCTCCGTATATGTGTCTAAGTATTCGTCTTTCAAAGCGACCTAACAGTTCTTCGTCGCTTTTTATTATAGTCCATGTCTCTGACGCGTATGTCAGGACAGGTTTATTAAGAGTTTTATACATTAGTATCTTGGCTTTTTTGCTAATTATGTGTGATGTTAAGAACTGATTTAGTCCAAAGTAACCTCTGTTAGCCAAGTATAATTCTTCTCTTAATTTGTACGCTTACTAGGTTGCTGTTATTCAGTTGTGTTCCAAGATATATAAACTCCGAGACCCCTTAGAATGTGTGTGCTTCTGTTATCAGATCTTGTGGTGCCGCTATTTGTGTGCTGTTCGTGACCTTCATGTATTTTATTTTGGATGCGTTAACATGGACTCCCATTGTCTTCGCGGCTTTTCCCATTGTCTTCGCGACTTTGTCTAATGTTTCAAAAGCCTGTATCAGGTCTCGTTTTGTCCGTGTTGCTATGTCAATGTCATCTGCGTAGGCATCTGTACACTTCTACTGATGATCGTACCTCTGGCTGTTATGCCCGATTTCTCTATGGCTCTTTCTAGCGCGATGTTAAAAAATAGACACGATAGACTGTCTCCCTGGCGTAATCCAGTATGTGTTTGAAAAGACCTTGACACTCTGTTTTGTACCTTGACTTTGCACTCACCTTTCGAAAGAGTTGCCTTTACCAATGTTATTAGATGCGACGGAATATCTAGCTCTGCCATGATATTCTAAAGTGCGCTTCTGTCTACACTGTCATAAGATATCTATGAAGAGGTGATGGGTATTAATTCCATATTCATACGTCTTTTCTAAGGTTTGTATGAGAAGGAAAATCTGATCAATTGTTGACCTTTTTTTCCGGAATCGACATTGGTATTTGCCTATTTTTTCTTCAGTATATACTAGTAATCGATCATAAAGTATATAAGCCAGTACTTTGTAAGCCGTATTAAGGAGGGTAATGCCTCGATAGTTGTCACATAATAGTGAATCCCCTTTCTTGTGAATAGGTACACATTCAATACCTACCTACTTACCAACCTACATTCCAACTGTCTGGGAGTTTTCCTTCTCTCCAAATGGATGCAACAAGTTTTATTATGTATTTTTTTAGGACGTTGGCTCCATACTTGAACAGCTCAGTGGGTATATTATCTTCTCCAGGGAATTTGTTGTTTTTTAACCTTTTTATTGCCTTGACAACTTTTTCTTCTGTTGGTATATTATTTTTC